ACTAAAATACAAAAGAGGCCGGGAGCTGTGGCTCACTCCTGTAATCCCAGTAGCTTGGGAGGCTGAGGCAAGAGGATCATCGAGTTCAAAGCCAGCCTTAGCAACTTAGTGAGGTCCTAAGCAACTCAGTGAGACCCTGTCTCAAAAAAATATAAAAAAGGGCTGGGGATATAATTCAGTGGTTGAGTGCTCCTGGGTTCAACCCCGAGTACCAAAAAATAAAATAAAATACAAAAGAGCAACGTCCACAATACATTGTCCTATGAATTAAGAAAATATGTGAAAAACATTTATAAACTGAAAAGCAATGTCCAAGTGATAGTCACATTACTAATAACAATTACAAAACAGTAAAGGTGAAGCAAAAGTTATTGAAGAGTCATGAACTACGTTAATTCAATGAGTTGCTCTGTGAATGAGTTTAGGAACCACCTAAACTTCTGGCAGCTTCTTTCCAAAGATCATCTGGAAACTACCCACCATGCTAATAATGGCTGTAGATTCACTGGACTCCAAACCAAGCTGTGTTAAGAGCTAAATGGAGCCTTTGTTGGTTAGATGGGAAATACAGGGCTCCTGGCAATGCTAGAATGAGCTGGTTCCAGGAGGGGTGTTGACCATGATCTAAAAGGACTTGGAGGGGGTACTGGGAATTGAACCCAGAAGTACTTTACCACTGACTTACATCCCCAGTCCTTTATTAAAAAAATTTGAGACACTTATCCAATGTGCCTCAGTTCCTAGGCAAGACAGTTTTATTCAAGTTCTATTGAATCATTTTAGTAGAGAGTAATCAAGGTTGCATAGCACTATTTTCTTGAATGTCCTTCCTATTTTAAAATTTGGACTATAAAATGGGAAGAAATTACAGTTGGATATTACTCTTACCTATTTTCCTTTTATTATACATACTTTAGATTTCAGACTGAATACAAATATTGATCAGAAGCCAAAATACCTCACACATTTCTTATCATTTCAATCCAAGCCAATCTTTCAACTCTGCATTTTTTTGTTCGTGTCTCACCAATTACTTAAATAAATATATGAATAAATAGCAATCTAATCCAAATATGCATCTTTCATTTATAATTATCTGAAGTAAGAGATTTAAAGATGGGTAGTTAATCCATCTCACCAAATGCATCTTCCATGCCTGTTCAGTCATGCTTGAATATTCAGATTCAATTTATAGAGAATACAAATACATAACATTGTTAGAGGGAGGCTTCTGGCAGATCCTGTCTGAGAGGGACAAAAGGTCAGACAGTTCTTTTGCCAACCTGTGGCGAAGGCTCTGGGTTTGGTCAGAGGGTAAGAGTTGTCTAGATCTGGAATGGATCATTCACACAAGTAGGTTCTTGTCAGATCAAAAAACATGACAACACAACTTCCCCCTAGGCAAGAGACCAGATGGAAAGTTACGACAAAATGTGAAATGGGGATGGGAATTAATGGTGGAGAAAACATTTCTAAGATTTGAAATGTAATCTTACCTGGATTGCTGGGATTACCATCTTGGGGTAATGCCTGGAAATCTTGGGAAAATAGAATCCTATTGGAAACTGGTCACCCAAGTGAAAAACCAATTTACCTTCAAATAACTTTTTAATTCATGAAGCACTAATATAAACAGTCCTTGATTAAACCCATAGTTTATATGAAGACTTATACAGAGCTGTTTACATTTAGAACTTAGATATTCATAATTAGCTGATGAGTGGACACTTGAAATTTTTCCTATTATGTTGCCTGCAACAGTTTCATTTTGATCATCTTTGTCTGACATCAGTTCTGCCCCCCCACCACCGAAATTATTGGTGAAATAGAAGTACTGAGGCTTGCTATAGGTGGCAAGTGGCTTTAACTAGATAACTTTAAGTTGATCACTGTGAGATCAACTGTCAAGGCAAAGAATGAATGAATACACATGAAGTTTTTGGAAATACTGAAGGCTTCATTAGGGGCAAGCCACAATATATTGATGTCTTGAGAAGGATCTTTTCCCATCCCACATACAGTGAACAAGTTTAAGTCTATTGTTCAATTTTCAGTGATTCAACTTAATTATACATTTTCAGAGACTGTGCATGTACTACTATGTGAGATTGTATGTGGTCTAAAGGTTAGACTCTAAATCAATTATTTTTAGGGACTATGTACAGCACAGATTCATAGAACATTAAGAGATAGAAGGGTCCTTAGAGATTATATACTTCAAAATTATAGTGAAAATGAAAGAATTGGAGGTCACGAGGATTATTTCACTTGGCTAAGGCTTCACTACTAAACTAATGGTGGTGCAAAGACTAGAACCTAGGGGTTTGTCTAACTCAGCATTCTTCCCACCACTTTATTTTAGATGCTCAGAAGTTTACAATTCTGTCTGGTTTCTCAAAAGTCATGGAAGGTGACTCCTAATGGCCTTAGAAACTAGAGTGCCTCCAGCTGCCTAGTCCATGAATGCTGTGAACCTTGCTCCAAAAAACTAACAGTATCAAGTAAGAATTAAATCTCAAATTAATACTGGCTGATGTTGCAAATGTTTTAAAATGTTTTCTGCATTTTATCCTCTAGGCTTAAAGCTAAATACTGCTTTTTTCAGAGATGTCTTCTCTGGTACTTACCTATGCTTTTCCTGTTTTTTTTTTTTTTTAAATATAACTTTCTAGCATACATTTTGAAATAATACATTTATTTACTTATTATGAATCTTCTCCAATACATTCTAAATTCAATGAAGACAGGTCATTTCTGTTTTGTTAATAACTGTTTATCTGGCACCTAGTACAGTCTTGGCATATAAAATAAGCTCAAATATATTTTTTTGAATAAACAAATGAATTTCTCTCTATAATTATGGTTAAGGCAAGCCTTAGGGAAACACTAATTATCCCTTTTTTTTTAATTTATTTTTTTTATTGGTTGTTCAAAACATTGCAAAGCTCTTGACATATCATATTTCATATATTAGATTCAAGTTGGTTATGAACTCCCAATTTTACCCCAAATACAGATTGCAGAATCACATCGGTTACACATCCACATTTATGAACAATTTTGTAGGATGCCGAGTTCTGTCAAGAAGATGCAGAAACCACCAGTTGCCTAGGTACATATAGGTACCTGCATTAGGCAGGTCAATCTCGACAATCTCAAGTGTCTTCGCACCCTAAGGTTTTGAAATTTGTTTCTTTTCAACTGTTTGATTTTGAATTGGGTTAAGAAAAATTACATACACAAACTCATTAAGAAATAATCTAAGTTATCTAATGAGATTTAGAAAATTCATTATTCAGGCATGCATGCCCTTTTACAATTACTTGGTACATAAACATTCTACTGAACATACAGTTTGCTATAGGTCCATAAAAATGCAACTCAAAGAAGACTAAAAGACTAACACAAGAGTCTTAAAAATGTCTGTGCAGCTTTTTCTTTGGTGTGTATGTGTGTGTGTAGCCCAGGCTCTCCCACGTGCTAGGCAAGTGCTCTCTACTCCTGAGCTACACCCACAGTTCTCAAATCAGTTTTAAATACCACACACACACACACACACACACACACACACACACACACTTTCATGTGATTACTGTATCAACTCTGTGAAGAAAATTATGCCTGAGCATATACAGAGTAAGTGGCTTATTCAAAGAACTAGAATTGTCAGGTTTCAAACTCCCAAATTAATGCTTGTCTCATATAGGCCAGGCCAGTTTTTTGACTCCAAGAATTACCTATCCTTTAGGTTCAGCAAAATTTCTATTCCAATCCTGGGTATAAGAGATCTTTCTTCCAAACTTCACTGGGAAAGGATCAAGAGGAATTTAAGAATAAAATTTTTGATAGGGTATTAATTATCAAAAAGTTATAAACATCTAATCAGAATGGTGATAAAATATTTTAATACAATATCAAAATAATTTAATGCAATATTAAGTTAATAAATAATTAATTAATAACTAGGAATTGAAGCCGGGGTACTTACCCACTGAGACGTATCACTAGCCCTTTTTTAAAATTTTGAGACAGGGTCTCACTAAGTTGCTTAAGGCCTTACTAAATTGCTGAGGCTGTTTTGAATTTGTAATCCTCCTGCCTCACTCTCCCGAACAGCTGGGATTACAGGCATGGGCCACCATGCCTGGCAAGATCAAATTTATTAGATGTGATTTTTTTCTACCCAACCCAATGAAAGAAAATTTTAATTCAGAATAGCAAGTTTGTTAAATGAGTGAATCCCCCGAAAAGCACAGAGAACAATATAGGCATTTATCACAGATTAAACAGCAAGGGAGAAAAGATCCAACATTTTATTTTTAGCTGCTAGTTGTTTCTCAAAAGTCACACAGGGAAGTAATCTACTGATTAAAGTTAAAGTAAAATATGCTCTCATCTTAGAGTTTGAAAAGAACTTTGAGACCATCTAGTTCAATTTCTTCCCCTTTTTTTTTTGGGGGGGGGTACTAGGGATTGAACTCAGGGGCATTCAACCACTGAGCCACATCCCCAGCCCATTTTGTATTTTATTTAGAGACAGGGTCTCACTTGAGTTGTTTAGTGCCTCGCCCTTGCTGAAACTGGCTTTGTGATTTGCCAGCCTCCTGAGGTGCTGGGATTACAGGCTTGTGCCACCATGCCTGGCTTCTTCCTTTCTTCTTTTATTTATTTTTAAGACAGGGTCTCACTGTATTGATCAGTCTGGCTTCAAGTGATCTTCCTGACTCAGCATCCAGGTGACTTGCTCTTTTCTTAATTGAGGTAATGGATTTGAAAGTTCACTTGCTGTAATTAACCCTTCTTGGGTGTGCTTGTGTTTCCAGGAAACGCTCTCAGCTTTCTAAGAAAATCATGATCATTTCTGTTTTTTAACATTTTGTACCTTATGGCAGAATAATTATATATTTATTTTTCCAGTACTGAGGATTAAATTTGAGGGTGCTCTACTACTGAGCTACATTTCCAGCCCCCTCCCCATCTTTTAAAATTTTGAGACAGGGTCTCACAAAGTTGCCAAGACTGGACTCCTGCCTCTGTCTCCCAAGTAGCTGGGATTACAGGAGTGTGGCACTGTGTCAACCCAGAATAATTATATATTGAAATCCACATTTCTAAAGTTCAAACATGTATTCTCTGCTTGCATATTTGTTCAAGTATTGTGCCTCTGCCCTAGGGTACTTTTCCTTAACTAAATTTTCAGCTATAAAAGACATGAATGAGTAAATCTTGGAAAAGGGATAACATCTTTGATATTTTCAACTCCTAAGATGCACTGTAGGTAGCGTTCAAATCCCATCCCAAATCCTCCATGTGGCACAGATCCAAACCGACGAAGGTCCAAATACCTGTTTTTAAAAACAAAGAATTTTTACCTATAAACACTATATGAAATCAAATGTTATGATTACAATTTTGTTTCAAAAGTATTTTGCAACCATTTGTTATTGTCCACATCATTGTGGTAGACCAGACCAGTCTTTCCCCTCCACAGAGATAACAGAAACAGAGAAGTTAAAGTGATCTATCTATACAAGTTTACCCAGACAGGCAGCAGTAGTTCCTGTTGTGTAGTTGTGGATTTTGGTCACCTGTTTTCTTTTTTCTTGTTAAATTACTTATGTACTTATATACAAAATACTTGCCTCATGAGGCTGCAGGAAATTTATAATAGCTTTACTAGTTTTCTTAAAAATATATTTCTCGTCCATATCTTGTTATGTTGCTAATGATCTTTGTTCCTCCCTGTCATCCAAATCATATTGTTCAATACATGCAGGAGAATGAAGAGTTTTACCTGACATATAACAGAAAGATATGCCCTTGACTGACTGTAAGCTATATCAGAGGCAGGCACTAGTCTTAATCAGCCTTTTATCTTCAGAGAATGTTCTAGAGTAAATGCTTACTACATGAAGATTGTTTAAAGGAACAAAAGTATATTCTTGAGGGCTTCAGTAAGAAGAAACTTCTAAGCTGGGTGCAGTGGTGCCTGCCTGTAATCACTGAGACTTGTGAGGTTTAAGGCAGGAAGACTGCAAATTCAAGACTAGCCGTGGCAAATTAGTGAGGCCCTATGAAATTTAGCAAGACCCTGTCTCAAAATAAAAAATACAAAGAACTAGGGATGTGGCTCAATGGTTAAGTGTCCCTGGGTTCAATCCCCAGTAAGCCCCCCCCCCCAAAGAAAAAAAAAGAAACTTCTAGTTCTTTGCTTCAGGCCCAGCGAAGACACCCCAAATCATTTTTCTGCTAGGCTAGACAGCCTCAGATAGCCATACGTTAGCATGTTCTATTCCCACTTACAACCGCATGGCTAAAAAATGGTACAAACATGACTGAAATGCAGATTTCAATATATCAGTATGGAAAAAGTTATTTTATGAAGAGAAGAAAAGAAAGACTACAAATATTATTATTATTGGTGGGAAAACTGAGCTATATAATATAAATTAAACTAAGTTTATTATTTCCTGAATGATCTGTAAATCAATTCCACAATAAAACTTAAGCAGCACAGCTGATAGCCATTTGTCTCCTTAAGAATAAAGACTATCATCTATTTTCCACTATCAATAATAATGGCTGGATGTATTGATATTTTAAGAAGTTAAGATTAAAACTTATATCTCTAAAATAAAAGATGAATTGTAACTAGATGAGTTTAATCAGGTGAAAGAACAATATGCCAGAGGTTATTTAGCATAAACTCCAGATTGGTAAGAACTATAAGGAATAAAGGAAAGAAACACAGTCTGAGTAATTAAAATGTTTGATAGCTGAATTCATTTTAAGTTTACAAGGCACAGAGACAGGGTATACTCTGATTTATGAAAAAAAAAATGAGATGAAAAGCATACCAAACTTTGTCATGAATACCTTTAGGACCTGATGGCTCTTAGAAGTCTAGTAATAGTTTCAGATGTCTCTAAATTTCTCATACATTGATATCTAACCACTGACATGAATGTCTGCAAACTGCATTCAGCAGAGGGATTCAGTTTATTACATTTTTCTTGCCTTTGCATTAATAGATGAAAAAATTCAATTCTATGAAAAAAGTTTGCCAATGTATATATGTCTGATTATTATTATATTGATTCTAGGGTAACCAGATATAGAAGAGATGCTACAAAATTTGAGGGATTAGTTACAGATTTTATTTGCACATGGCACATAAAATAGGAAATGACTACACTCTGAGTTCCTGTTCAGGGTCATGGAAATACAAATAAAAACTCTTCTATGTAATGCTCAGCTCAGTGGCTAGAGTAAGAATCATTAAGGGTCTCATTCTTACCATTGGTAGGCTTCTGTGAGTCCTGATCTATAAAAGGAAAATAACAGAATTGTTTTAAGCAATGGGAGTAAATATACATAAATGTATTATTGTCAAATATTTATTCTGAGTTGTGTATAAAGAGCTCTTTGTAAAGAAGTAAACAACAAAGCCCGTGCTCTCTATACAAGAGTCAAGAAGCTGAAACTTTACAGTAAGTTAACCAATAGCCCAAGGTATTATTCAATAAGTGGTACAAACAACAGGTGCTACAGAATGAAAATAGAACCCCAAAGAAGAGATTCATCTGAAATGAGCTTCTTATTCCGTGTCATAATTAGGTCAATTCTGGTGGCACATGCCTGTAATCCCAGAGACTGAGACAGGAGGATCTTAAGTTCGAGGCCAACATGGGCAACTTAGCAAGACCCTGTCTCAGAATAAAAAATAAAAAGGGCTGGGGATGTGACTCAGTGGTAGAGAGCCCCTGTGTTCAATTCTGCTTACTGTAAACAAAACAAAATGACATGACACTATTATAACTAGTTAAGGTGTCCAGCAGACCTGAATGAACAAAGGACACATGGACAAAACCTTCATTCTCATTATTAAAGCAATAACAATAATTCTGAGGCTGCCTTCATAATATTGTTTCAATTTGTTTCTTGTTTAACTTGAGAAAAATGGATAACATTTTAAGTTCTTTGTGCTCATTAAAGTTGATCTTAGATCATTAAAAAAGCCACAGGGTATCTGAGTCATGAGAATGCTGAAAAATTTAATATACAAAAGTATAGAAAATAAGAACAGCAGCCACAGACAGATCCCTGATATAGGGAAACATATCTCTACTTCATTAGGAAAGGTAAATTTGGACAGTATCAAATATTAGGTAAACATTTAATGTTATGAGGAAAGGTTTCCTGAAGGAAGGAAGCAAGCAAAAAAAACAGACCAATTAATCTTTCAACAGATGAGGTTTCTTGCCACGTGAGTTTTACTGTGCTTTAAAAAAATAACTCATGGGATTGGGGTTGTGGCTCAGCGGCAGAGCACTCGCCTCGCACGGCAAAGACCCTGGGTTCAATCCTCAGCACCTCATAAAAATAAATAATAAAATAAACGTATTGTGTCCAACTACAACTAAAAAATAAATATTAAAAAAAAACTCAGTGAACATTCAAATACTTTCCATCTAAAAATATGACCTTCACTTCAATTCTACGACTTTCCCAGGACTTTCTAATGCTTTAGTAGGAGTAAGGAGGGCATAGGTAATAAAGGGTCTTCTCAGAACCTATTTACCCCACTTCTGTTGGAACCTAACATAGCAGAGCAGTTCAGAAGATAGGAATCAGAGAACTGCACTACCCAAGAGATTTACAGGTTGGGATCTTAGAAAAGCATCAACTTTTAAAGCGTTTCTCCATTTGGAAAAGAGGTCGTACAAATGGCTAATTCAATAGGATATTTTCAAACAATTAAGGCTTTCCCAGGTTGTAAAGAAACCTAGTAGTATCTGGAAAGAAGGATTTAGCATACAGACATGGGAAAGTCTTTTCTTGTCTTTTTTTTTTTTTTTTTTTAAAGGTTAGCAGAGCAAAGTAGAAATCATGGAAAACAGAGGTTTATAACCTTGGTTAGTTTAGGAAGTCACTGTGGTTTGTTGGCAGACCATGCATACACAGGAGTGGTAGTTCAATTAGAAATATGATTCCCTCTTTCCCATCTCCAAAACATTTTCTATGTGTTTATGGAGCCCTTTCCCAGGTCTCCAATAGCAGTTTAAAATAAAGTTATTCAAATAGCTAAATCAAGATCCATATAGAGGAGACAACCTGAGAAGGGAAATCTGCTTATTCCAAGTGCTAGCTTTGCAGATATTTTTAGTAATTTTCTTTTTCCATCTTTATCCTTTTCCTGGTTTGATCTGTCTTTATGTTCCCGTGGGAGTCTGACATTCATAACTAAAAATACATAAAAAGGGAAAAGAAAAATGTAGGACAAGCTTTGAGGGGGAAACATCCCTCTTCCTTTCATTAATTTTTAAAAAGGCTACTTTCCACACCTATGTACAGGCGAACACTGCTGTGGGCTTGTTTGGTCTTTAAGACAGTGAAGCTCAGATAGGTTAGAAACACCTTGCTTAAGGCAATAGAATCTGAGATCCAGGGCTGTAGGTCCCATGTGTGTTTCTGGTACTTTCTGTAACTATCTTTGGGTAACTCTATCCCAGTTTCTGACATGTCCTTCTTTTAAGTCAGAATAATACCTGGCCAGCTGTTGCTTTAAGAAGTGATACCGTTCCTCCCTGAGGCTGCCTCCAAAGAGCTCTCCAACTCCAGGAACAAGAAGATCAACAGCAGCTACCTAAACAGGAAAAATTGTCATACTCAGCATTACATTTTCAGGTGGTTCCAGCAACAGCTACTCAAGCAAGTGGAATGTGTTTTTAGACAACTTTATAACTGGCTATTTTACTGCTTACCAGTGTCTTATTTACATCTGTTTCTGTCATAAATATAAAATGTTTAATATTATCTTTAGAATAATACTATAGAAGAGCCAGGCATGCATGCCTGTAATCCCTGTGGCTTGGGAGGCAAAGACAGGAGGACCGCTAGTTCAAAGCCAGGCTCAGCAAAAAGCGAGGTGCTAAGCAACTTCGTGAGACCCTGTCTCTAAATAAAATACAAAATAGGTCTGGGGATGTGACTCAGAGGTCAATGCCCCTGAGTTCAACCCCCAGTTCTCCCAAAATAAAATAAAATAAAATAGGGCTGGGATTTGGCTCAGGCTCAGTGGTTAAGTACCCCTGGTTGAAACCCCTGTACCACAAAACAAAACAAAACAATGCTGCACAAGTTGCAGGTGGTCAGTTTTTCTTCTCCCCTCCTGTCAAGAGTGTATTTTCTTCACAAATGTGCTGTTCACTATAAAAATTAAAAACCTTCAAAGTTACAAATTATAAAAAAAATCAGTTATCAGGCTGGGGATATAGCTCAATAGGTACAGTGCTTGCCTAGCATGCACAAGGCCCTAGGTTCAATCCCCAGCACCACCACCACCAAAAAAAAAAGCTGTTCTATTGTATTAGGCTGGGGCTGAAGCTCAGTGGCAGAACGCTTGCCTAATATGTGTGAGGAGGCACTGGGTTCAATCCTTAGCACCAAATAAAGGCATGCTGTCTATCTACAAGTATTTAAAAAAAAAAAAAGCTTTGGGCTAGGGTTGTAGCTCAGTGGTAGAGCACTCACCTAGCGCATGTGAGACCCTGGGTTTGATCCTCAGCACCACATAAAAATAAATAAATAAAAAAAAAGGTATTGTGTGCAACTAAAAGAAGTAAATATTAAAAAAACCCAGTTATCACTATGAAGAAGCAATTGCATTTTGGCTACTTCCTTTCAGGATTTTTTTCTTTATACATTTAAGAAGAGTAAGTTAGAGACCAAATTACATTTAAAAACTCACCATTCTAATTGCTTTGCCAATATTATAAAATGAATATTTTCTCTATGTCGAGAAAAATATATTTAATGTTACACAGGTATATAGTTTAATGGTTTAGAAATATCACAATTTACTTAAACTGCTATGTACGTGTGTGTACATATTTGTTTTCTCATAAATAGTGTGTCAATAAAGACTTTTCTTCTTTTTTTTTTTTTTCTTTTTTTGGTGCTGGGGACTAAAATCAAGGCCAAGTACACACACTCCACCATTGAGATATATGTACCTCTAGTCCCTACAATGAAGACATTTCTTTTATTTTGTGGTACTAACGATTAAACCAAGGAGTATTTCACTCATGAATCCAGCCCTGTTTTTCTTACACTTTATTTTAAGACAGGATCTCATTAAGTTGCCCATAAATCTTGCAATCTTCCTGCCTCCGCCTCCCAAGTCACTGGGAATATAGGTATGTGCCACCATGCCTGGCTAAGAGATTTCTTTAATTTGTAGTATTTCATTAGGTCATAGTAAGTTTTCATTATCAATCAAAGAAGTACAAATTAAAATAATGATATACTATTTTGGAGTGTCTTAGCAAAGATAAAACAATATAAATTATATAGATAAGAGAATGGATGAATCAGTACCCTCATGCACTTGATATAACCTTTTCTGGTTAGCGACTTGGCAACAGATAATCAAAAGCCTTAAAAATGTAATATGCTTTGAGTCAGCAATAGCAATTCTAGGAACTGGTCTTAATAAAATAATCAGAGATGAATAAAAAGATTTCTGCACAGCGTGTTTATTACAGCATTACTTATAATAATAAAAAATTAATGTGTACACCAACAGGAGACTATTAGATAAATTTTAGGCATGGATACAAAAAAAGATTGATATGTACATAATATGATTTAATTGTGTTGCCCCTGTGATACAGTGGGATTGTAGTATTGTGGGATTTCGGGCTGGGATTTGGCTCAGCGGTAGAGTACTCACCTAGCATGTGCAAGGCCCTGGGTTCAATCCTCAGCACCACATAAAAATAAATAAGTAAAATAAAGGTATTGTGCCCAACTACAATTAAAAAATAAATATTAAAAAAAAGTTCCTTTCCTTCTTCTTTTTTTGGTACTAGGGAATAAACCCAGGGGTACTTAACTACTGTGCCATATCTCCAGCCCTTTTAAATATTTTATTTAGAAACAGGGTCTTGCTAAGTTGCTTAGGGCCTCACTAAATTGCTGAGCTAGCTTTGAACTTGCAATCATTCTGCCTCAGCCTCCTGAGTAGATTACAGGTGTGCACCATTGTGCCCAGCTTCAAAACAAACTTTTTTTTTTCTTTTTAAAATTTTTTTAGTTGTAGACAGACAAATACCTTTACTTTATTTATTTATCTTATGTGTGCTGAGGATTGAACCCAGTGCCTCACATGTGTGAGGCAAGTGCTCCATCTCTGATCCACAACCCCAGCTCCTCAAAAAACTTTTGGTAAAGAAAAATGACAACTTGCTATTTTAGTTTGTATTTCCTTAGTTACCAGAAACATTTAATGTTTTAGAATGTTAGTTTGGTATGTGTATTACTTTGTGACTTATCAATTCTTCGGGGGCTTTTGTCTTTGGGGGCTTTTGAGAGTCCAAGAATCTGAGGTGTAACACTAAGGTTTAGTGCAACAAATGAGATTAGGAATCCATAAAATATTTCATTCTTTAAATGTCACAGATACTGTAATTTCTTTTTTTAAACTTTGTCACACTTTACCATTAGACCATACCCCATTTTGATTTCAGAACTGTTGACTGAGATACTTTACAGACATTTGAGATTAATAAAGAATCATTCTAGAATATGCTCCCAATGATGTATATCTCATCCTCATTACTATCATTAAAGAGAAAACATCAGGTATGATTCTCATCGTGAGGCTGAATTATAGGGAGAGAGAACAAAGATTCACCAATGGTTCCTACTCTTACTAAATCTCTTGCCTCTCAATGAGGTGTTGAGGACTAAGAGTATAAAAAGGTCCTTGCTCTGCCGCAGCACTGCCTGTTGATATTGGGCAATAATTCCATTAACCTGGGTATCTACATGATCATCCAGGTTGTTAAAAATTTGGGTTTGGTGACTGAGACATGATAAACATGTAATTAAATCCAATCAACACTGTGGACAGGTAGACAAGAGAGCATGACTAATGTGATACAATTCTCATGGGCTGCACACTTAATATGATTAGTCTCTACTAGGACCCTCCAATTTTTAGAAAAAGGAGAAAGTCCAAAGGTTTTTTTTTTTTTTTTGGTACTAGGGATTGAACTCAGGGGCACTTGACCACTGAGCCACATCCGTAGTCAAATTTTGTATTTTATTTAGAGACAGGGTCTCACTGAGTTGGTTAGCACCTCGATTTTGTTGAGGCTGGCTTTGAACTGGTGATCTTCCTGCAGCTGCTGGGATTATAGGCATGTACCACTGCACCAGGCCAAAGGGAGTTTTTATGAACACAGAAAGACTGGCATCTTTATTTCCTAATATTTTGCTTTGAGACATGGATAAATAAAAGGCCAATGGCTATATAGCTAAATAAGAGGCCAACGGCCACTGATGAAGTGATGAATGACATTTTTTCTGCTTTCTCTATGTAGTCCTTCAGCATCAAACAAGAGAACCCTTTCTTGCTTGGTCTTGCTGAGAATATAACTAAGACAAACAAAAACTCCTCTGGGATCTTAGTACTTCTGGCAGAAAGTTAGGCTATTCTGGATCTTAGTTTTTTAAATGCTATTTTTAAAGAAGTTTAAAAGACATCTATTTTTCTTTGATTATAAACCTCTTTTAACATTTGGGTTTATGGGATAATTCACTGTGTAACTATACTGGTTTTATAGCTTTCTGTCTGGTTTTTATTTATCTGGAATATTTGCAACTAGAGTAGAACTGGAAACTTCTGAACCTTTTGAGTTAGTACCAAAATCTTATGCCCTGGTATGATTGATACTCATAAATATTTTTAAAAATTTTTCAAATTAAGTTGTAGACAGACACAATATTTTTATTTGTTTATTTTTATGTGGTGCTGAGGATCGAACCCAGGGCCTAATGCATGCAAGGCAAGTACTCTACCACTGAGCTACAACCCCAGCCTGACCTATACATAATTTAAAAAAAAATTTCTTCCTATCATGCTTTCCTGATTACTAGGTTACATAATTAGTTATATCCAACTATTTCTGCTTTGGCTATTTTAAAATTAAGGTGACAGTTGCTGTATTAATCAGCATAGGCTAGGTTATACTGTCATCATACAAAATCTCCAAAGTGCCAGGTGCAGTGGCACATGCCTATAATCCCAGTGACTTGGAAGGATCACAAGTTTCAGGCTAACCTCAGCAACTTAGTCAGATCCCATCTCAAAAAATAAAAAAGGACTGGGGATATAGCTCAGTGGTAAAGTGCCCCTGGGTTCAATTACCTATTCCAAAACAAACAAAATAAAACCCAAACCAAAGAACAAAACAACTCCCTCCCCACTAAAAAACAAAACAAAACAAATAACAAAAACCACTCTAAAGCTTACATGAGTTTCTCAGTCTCAGCATTAGTAGCATTTTTGGCCATACACTCCTTTGTAGTGAAGACCTGAATCATGCACTGTGAGATTCTATCCCCCACCCCCAGTACTGGGGATTGAACCCAGGGGTACCCTACCACTGAGCTACATCCTCAGCCCTTATTATTTATTTGGGTACCAGGGATTGAAATCAGGGACACTTAACCATTGAGCCACATCCCCAGACCTATTTTGTATTTTATTTAGAGACAGGGTCTCACTGAGTTGCTTAGCCCGTCTCTTTTGCTATGGCTGGCTTTGAACTCCTGATCCTCCTGCCTCAATCTCCAGAG